TGGGGAATGCTAAGAATCGCTGTCTTTTTTTTTTTTTAAAGCGATAAAGATAAATATTAATATTAATAATTAATTAACGTAGGGAAAACAAAAATGAAATGATTTTAATTTTTTAAGGTAAAAAGAAAAAGGTGGGCCGGCCGTTTTTGCTTTCAGGCGATTTTCATCATTCCGATTTTTGCTTACTGCGGAAAGGTGCCCCCTTTTTACACTTGATTTCTGGGAATAGGTTTTTCCTTTTTTCTAAATCTAATCTACTATAAATATTATTAATAATAATAATAAAAAATAAATAAAAAAAAGGTGTATTTTTGTGACTCTGGTTATTACATACAAGCCAAGTAAACACACCCCACTCCTTTATTTATATATATTATATATAAATATATATTATGTCGACTAAGTGAAAGATCAGTACAATTTAATTAGTATTTCAGTAAAGCTTTTGGGTTAAGTATCTATTTAATATTATTATTATTTTTGTTTTAATTTTTTTTTTCTGATCACGCCCCTTCGGCTGTTTCTCTCACTATTAAATGGATTTGAGGCGCTAATTATATTAATATTAATGTTAATGATTATTATTAATCATCACAAATTAATGGGATGGAAGAGGAAATGGCGGCTGTGGGCCGCAGTTTTGAGCAAGTTTCTCTCTCTAGATTAACAATTTGATTAGTTGCTGTATTCTTTATTTTATCAGTTATTAATTTTCACATTTAATTCACAAAATTACATGTATACATATTATATATACATATATACATGTGTATGTATGTAAATAATTCGATAAATTTCAAAGTGAATATGAATAGAACCATGTTTCCATTGCATCATGACCCTAATAATATTTTGTACTGATTATTAGTTAATTACCACCATTCTTCATGGAAATTACACTTTACCATATATAAATTTTTGGTGATTACACTATATTTAGCAAAGTGGATCATATTGTCATTTTAACATATGTAATAGTCACCACTTTTAATTAAAGAAATTACTGTGAAAATAGTGTCATTTGACAAATAACAAAATGTGTTTTATATAAGCGAGTTGTTGCACGCGAGCTAATTATAAGAGAATGTAAGATACGTGTCCTCATTAAATACGTGAGTAACCTACTTAACTCATATGACTTTCTCAACAATACACACCTGTAAGAACTACGTTGAACATCGATCTGACAGAATTCCACCGACCCTCAAGTCGATATTAACTGCAATCTGACGGTGAATTTCACTTTAAAATAATATTTTTGTTCGATATTATTTTTCACTTTAGAGTTCCGATCCAATGTTTGCATTAATAATGAAGGCTAGTTTAGTCTTTTTTTTTAACTAGGTAGAAAGTGGCACATATAAAAGATTAAAGATGAGTAGTTAATTGTGCGCGTAGCTTAAAATAATAAGGTTGAGATTGATAGCTTGCCCTTATTGCTAATGATATCATACACGAGAGGCTTTTAGAATATTCCCTTT